TTAGTCACCATGAGAGCATCATAAATGCCTAAGACAGTAGTATCGCCCTGCTTATGCCTTACTTTGCTCCTTTCTTTCACGAGTTAAGAAGTGAGGCTCTAAAGCAGTTGCATGAGCCCGGCGAAGCCGGGCTTCCAAGAAGGAGGAGAGCTCGGCGTTAGCCGGGCGATCCGACTGGTGGAAATATAAATGTGAATTTCACTGGTATCTACCTCTGTAGCATTACACAGACTCTCCAAATTTATGGTGCTCATCATTGCAGACCGGTGGGGCGGGTGAGCCGCGCCGCGTGTGACTCGGCTGTGACGCGACTGTCATCGCTGCCGCGTCACAGCCGAGTCACACGCAGCGCGGCTCACCCGCCCCACCGGTCTGCAATGATGAGGACTGTACGTGCTCGAAAAACAATCGTTCGAAAAATGATGAAGTTACAGACCTGCCATCTTTTTGACACCACTTTATCAGCAATATACCATCCCAATGAATATGTTTTTATTTATTCATCTTGTGCCTTCATCTTTGCACTGCTTTGATTTCTAGTATATATTAGGTTGACCGGAAAGTTTCCCGCCATTGAATTGGTGAGGAATCCAACGGCCAAGCTTTGCGACTTTACCAATCTTCTCCAGCCCAGATTCAACAGTTGATTGGGCATGGCCGAGCATCGCTGCAAGTATCCTCTTCCACGGTGGATTGCAGCAACTTCAAGTCTAACTCCATCGGCCGGCCGGACCTTGGAGCATCTTGGAGAGAAAAATCTCCTTTCTTGAACTTGGCCATCCAGGTCTTGCACGTGTCGTAAGAGATAGCGTCAGCGCCATATGTATCCACTATCTTGGCTTGGGCTTCCTTTGCGTTTAAGCCAGACTGATGAAGGAAAAGAAGACAGTGCCTCAGGTGCATCCTGTCGGGTTGAAACTTGGGCGGCATTTTGGAATCCAAATGCAAGCTGGGTGAGTGTGAGGTAGTGATGTGAAAGAGTGCGTGCTTCATGCACACCCCACGATAAGTCATAAACATACATGCAAGGCTAATATGGTGCGATCAAAAACGTGGCGGGAAACTTTCCGGTCAACCTAATATAAATGCAGAACACAAGCGGAACAAATCCTTTTGAATGAGTTGCAGGGAAAGGGTATGAAAAGCTTATAAAAAGCACAAAATTATAGAAAGCAATAGAACTGTATAGGAGGCGGTTAAATAGTTTTAGTCTATATTAGTTTATAAGTTTCCTGTAGACCATGTAACCGAAATTAATGTCGAGAAATATTATTTACACTAAGCGATGACGCTAGGCACAAGGTAGCTCATAGAGGAGATGCATGGAATCAAGGCCTAACTTCCGATGTTAGGTAGTCTCTACAGGGGACAGCATCGTGATGTGTGAAATGGTGGTGTCAGTTAGGCCTCCTCCTCTTCGAAGAAGGATCTCTCCTCCCCCAACACCTACCTACCACTCTCCCACATTTTCCAAGTTTTTACCCGAGAATTTTGTGGGAGGGTATGACGGTGGACGGGGTATATAGTGCACATGAAACAGGACAAATCACGAGAAGTCAACAACCGGGAAAATTTTTCCTACCGTGACAAATTTCTCCCAAAGGTACATAAGACCCCCCCCCCTTCCCTCTCCCAACAACAACCAAATATGACCCCTTTCCTCCCCAGTGGCGAAGTACGACCCCTTCTATGTGTTTCACAACGCTGCTGTACCCTGAGTCCCACTCCTACCGATTAGGCCTCCGACACGGAATGAAATACTATTGTGGTAGTGGTCCCCTAACAATCTCCTCAATTTGTAGGAGTTTATTCCATAGAGGCTATTCACTAAGAACCTCGCCTTACCTGTTTGCTGTTACATTACGTGTCCATATCAGTAGCTTGACGGTTTGAAGTTGGACACACAGAACGCAACACTCCCCACAGGTAAGGGGAGACGAATGCACTGTAGGACCTCAAGGGCATTTCTAATATAAGCAGATATAATGAATCGTGCCCAGGGGTTGAGCTACGCCTAGAGACGGAATTCCAGTCATCTGTTCCTGGAACTTTCTGCCAAGATGTGATCCAAAATGGGGCAACAAAGGGTTTTTTGCGCAGCATCCTGTTGGTAAGTTGATTCATCAAATATGTGTGTTTAGTGCACATCCAGCGCTATCATGCTCAGTTCAGGAATTCGAATCCGACAATGCTGTGTCCGCGGTTATTGTATCTCTTCTTAGCGGGTTAACGTTAGGAAGTGGACCACTAGCATCGGCTGTCTGCAACAGATATGGCTGCCGTGCAACGACAATTACTGGAGCCATAATTGCCATACTCGGGTACGTCATTGGAAGCCCCGTTACACAAAATATTATTTCTTGCACGCGAGCAGTCGCTAACATGGCGACATCGTAGAGATTCTGTTTACAGGGCACGCCGTGTACCGGAGGAAAGCAGTCGCCTCCGAACGATCGCCCTCAAAAGAAGGGGTTTCGATATGGAATAAGAATGCATAGTAGATCGTACAATATCACAGAATATAAAAATGAAAACTGAATATCAAAATGGATGCTGAAAAAGACATAATTTGAAACAAAGGGTCAGGGTCATACTGTGCGCAAAACACGCTATAGCATAAAAACAGTTTGTACATTCGAACAACTAGTCCTGCATATCGTGCATGAAGAACGTCATACGTCAACTGTTACGAGAAGAAATGGAAGTGAAGTAGACGGCCAGCAACTACATACACAATTTCCATTTGCTGACGACATCGTTCTAATAACCTCAAACAAGGGAAAGCAGAGCGAATGATTGACTGAATCATTGAATCAGTGGCTGATTTTAATTGTGCCCTTCTATTTCTATAAACCAGTTAACTTTGATGTGTCGTTTTGATATGTTTGTACGTATATGTATGGTATGTATGTAATGTATCCATAGCAACCATGTCTTCAATGTCGCGTAACCCGCAAAATGCCATCAACACCCGGGTTCGAGTTCCCTGGGGGAGAAAACCGACGCTAGCAACAACCCGGAAATCGATTCGAGTTGGCGGACGTAATCCAATCGCAATGTTTTTGATCGTGATATCGGCCCTCCCAGCTATATAAGACAACCCTTCGTCAACGCCCTCCCGAGCCACTTGCAACCCCGAGCTGCTCGCGCGTGGCAGCCTGGACGATAGATACATCGTGCGAGGGAACGGCCAGGGTGGGAAAGTGGGCGCGACGATGGGCGAGGGGCCGGAGAACAGCCACAGTGCCCCCCCCCGCCTCTGCTTCCTTCACACCCCTCCAGCCCCCCCATCATCGACAATACCTACGCGCAAGGGCGAATAGGAAGCAAGAAGGAGACGGTCCGATCTGGAATACTCGAGGGCGCGTTTGTCTCTAAGGTATGATATAGGTTTACGCAGGAATATGTGGGTGACAAGAACTGCTAGCTGCTGATAAGGGAATTAGAGTGGAAAGGACAACATACTCATAACGCGGGACACAGCATCATAGGCGTTGATTTCAGCAAATGATAGGAGAAGGCGACGGCGGGTGACAGGAAATGATAACAGCTGATAAGACCTGATAGAGAAAGATGCAGTCGTTGTTCATCAATGTATCGAAGCCATACATACGGCCGAAATTATGGAGTTTGGTGATAGCGACATTGATGACGGGTGACAAGCAATTTTATCAATTGATAAGCAAAGATAAGGGGACAATCTCACGACATCTCTGACCACTACACTGCCAAAAAGCCTCTCAGTAAGCGAAATTTTCCCACAGCCATCACTCCTCTGATAGCACTGGAAAAATGTACTCATCCCACTAGGGGGGTATATACTTCGCCTGAAACAGGAAAGTTTGGAAAAATCAAAACTCCAATATATAGGAACAAGCAGCTTATCGTTCAGGTGAGGTATTCAAATAGTTTAATTTTTTGCTTTTCAAACTTTAGACACTGATGAGAAAGGTACAACGCAGTAGTTTGTAAATGATCAATAGAAACAATATTGTCTCTGCAGCATTCATACGCACCATAGCGCGTGCATGTTAATCGACTAATCCAAATTGCCCTCGTTTAGCTGTTGCAGAAATGCAGAGGAATCAAAAACGGGATTTATGCTTGCATCTACTGTGGCAGACACGATATGCTCTTTGTACTTTCATCTATTTCTGAGAATCTACGTATAGAATGGGCGTTATGGCCGAAACCACACGCCTTCCGCAACTCTGAGGGGTGCAGATTTCGCTAGGTTACTCTGTCTATTATGATTCGACCACTACCGCGCAATATGAGCAGCTCATGCAATTAACTAATTCCATCCCGTCATGATGTGCGCCTGGCGAAGCCAGGCCAGCTCGGCGAAGCCGAGCTAAAAAGAAGGAGGAGAGCTCGGCGTCGCGGCGTCACCTGGCATGTTGAAAAGTCGGTTCGCAATCTGACGAACACGATATCCATAAAATGGATTACCCTTTGGTCTGATGCCTCATTCAGCGGAGCGAGTATCTCTGAATGTTCTAGCAATCTATCAGGTCGAAAAATCAACGTGACCTAGCACTATAGCTAAGCAGGAGCAATCGCGCCTTGAGAGTATTAAAGAACATCGACTAAGGAAGCGAAGAACATCCGATTGTTTCCGCACCGCTTCGAGTCCGCTGTCCTTTCTGCCCTAACTTACAATTCGAAAACTTGGAGTGGACTTTCCACTACTTCCTACTCTGCCCCATGCCCTCTGTGGTGGACTATTTCTCACACAGCGTGTCCTGCTTGTCTAGAACATTAATGTTTACAATATACAGAGAACGTATGATTGCTGTCATTCATCGCACCACTTATATAGGTGCACTGCAACATACTTCGCGTCCCAGATGTGGCACGTCATCGTCTCTGTTGGACTTGTCATAGGGATCGGATCTGGCTTCATTTACTGTTCGGCGATAGTCATCGTAACCATGTATTTCGAGAAGTGAGTGGCGATCTTGTGAATAATAGATGAGCTTTTTAACCACACATTAAATGAAAATGACAAACCATTTGCAAAAAAATCATTCTGGGTAGACAATGTTGAGGCAATGGCCGCGCAACCACACGCAGTATCAGAGATCTAGCTCGTGATACCAAACAAGTTTATCATCCTTCTACCATCGGGAGGTCGCTTAGCAACTTAAGTGGTAGGATAAAAATGAGGATCTCCATGTCAGCTAAATTGTAGGTAAGGTCAGGCTCACATTCAGCCAAAAAAGATTCCAGTGTTGTGATAGTGGAACTGTAAAGGAAATATGGAAATGGACGTGCTTGTGAAATGCATTTTTCTCGGCTGAATGAAAACCAAATACCTCGTCAATAGTCAGCTAATCACTTCTAATGCGCCACGATTTCGACTTTCACGGAGGAGCAATTGCCCTTCACAATGCATGTTCATGTGGGCGAATGCGACTTGCAGTGAGAGACGACGCGTCGTCATTTAATATACGCACGGCTTACGGCTTCCTGGAAACCCTCCCCCCCCCCCTTCATCCCTTTTTCTCTTGATAAGGATAATGCAAGTACTGACCCTGCGATCGTTTTCCTCAGTGCTTTCAATTCATTCGTTGCATCGAATTCTTTTGCATATTCATGTCTGTTAGGCAGCGTTCATACTTCGCGACAGCAGCGGCGATCGCGGCGACCTCGGCGATCGCCGCGATCGTCGGTACATGGCAGAGCGCGCCCAACGCTATTACTTGTTTTTGAAGCTGTTTTGTTATGATAACTGCTGTTTAACGCCGCAGTACGCGTTCCGAATGTTATCACAAGAATGCTGAGTTGTGGGCAAAAGTCGTGCCCCAGGCGGGAGTCGAACCCGCACCTCACGCTTTCCGGGCGAGTGCGCTATCCGTTACGCCACCAGGGCCCTCAGCTTAACGGCTTTTATGCCGTAGCCTATCAGCACTCACACGTTTAACTTGGTGAGCCGGTCAGCCGTAATCGATGGGATATCGGCATGAAACCGCGAGGCCGAAGGCTTTAGATGTTTTTGAAGCTGTTTTGTTATGATAACTGCTGTTTAACGCCGCAGTACGCGTTCTATTACTTGTACCGCTCCGAAGGCTTCTAGGGAGAAGCGACTCAATTTCATGCTTTTTTTTCTTTAACTGCAATTTTCTTAGGTACTGAAGCTTGGTTTGACACAAAGAAAGGTGAACCCAACTTAATGGCTTTTGTTTTCTATTTTCTTTCTTGATTCAGGATAGAAATGAGCAAAAAGCGTGAGAGCTTCATTTAGGGTAGGTTTTTTTTTGTTTCTTTTTCTTCGTCGAGCTTATACATGAGGTTATAAAGTTTTCACCTGTTGATGTTGCGTAAAATGATTAGTGTTTTGGTTCCTAGGTGAGTTTCTTTCTGTTTCTTTTTTTCTTCGTTGTTTGAACTCGACTTGTAAACTATAAATGTTTTGGAAGTTGGAACAGTTCAGACGATAGGAACTTTTAAGGCGCTTGTATAAATTGAAACAATAAAAAAAAAAAAAAAAAGCTCACCCAGGAAATGGAGTTGGCCTTATCCCGACCTAAAAAGGTGAAACCTCCTTACCTCATATTCCAGATCCGCTTATGTATAGAAAGTCGTAAGTTATCAGTTAGTAGCCATTATTAAGAGAAAGGTCTCACAAGTTGGATTTCCTTATTTATCAAGCGAGCGGTCCATAATAGCGTTGGGGCGCGCTCTGCCACGTACCGACGATCGCGGCGATCGCCGAGGTCGCCGCGATCGCCGCTGCTGTCGCGAAGTATGAACGCTGCCTTAATGCCATTTAAGCGAAGACCCTGAGTGACGACGAATCAAGTTCTTAAGAAAAAAAAGTTTATCCAACTAATATGAAGAGTCACCAGTGTATTATTCAGGCGACGATCTCTAGCCACGGGAATCGCCGTCACTGGAGCAGGACTAGGTACAGTGGTGTTCCCACCCATCAACGATTATGTCATAGTTCGGCATGGATGGAGAGCTGTATTTCTCGTATTCGTCGGTCAGTACCATATATAATAGGTTGCAAAGAAAGTTCCTGTCAGTGTTTTTTAATAGCTTACAGCTTTTGATTCTTGATGCTCGAACATGACGTAACATGCTATGCTTGTAGAACATTCTAGAAGCTTTCCCACAAGAGGTACATAAAGGCACCTGGTCTTCCCTGGGTTTAATTACAATGTCAGTTTCATAGGAACAGCTTCGCGTAATCATGTTCTATGGCTGGCGCCGCGGGAGTGAACGGCCACTGTTTGCAACATCAACAGTGCATTGTGGGAGGATACCAATATCGTCTGGACGGTTCACCTCTGGTTCGCTCGCTTTGCGAAAGGAGAGACGATCTCCGATTACAAACCTTGGTCGGGACACCCACACGAAGTGGAAGACTCCACCGTTCTCGAAGCTGTCAAGGAGGATCCGGAGGCTACCACCCGCAGTCTTGCGACAAGACTCGGATGTACCTAACTGACAGTCGTCAACCGCCTGTAAGCCCTTGACTACCGAAAAGTACTGGCTCGATGGATCACTCATACCTTGACCGATGGCACGCTGTGCACCTGGGTACCCCTTGGTCAGTCTCCCCTTCTCCGCTCTGAAAAAAGGAGTTTCCTGGAGGCTGCTAACTGGACATGAGAGATAGGACCTCTATGATTCTAATCCAAATAGCATCGTGCGTCTCTCTCAAGGAGAAGCCCCATCCTAGCAGCACAAAGCGGGCATGCAGTCCGAGAAGTCTCCTGTGCTGCTTCTGGGACGCGAAGTGAATGCAGCACAGCGAATTCCCCTCTGAAGACCCGATTATCGCTACCATTTGTGCTGCTCACCTTCAGAAACCCGTGGATGCTGCTGGAGAAAAATGACCGAGACTAGTTTCGGAGCACTCATTCGTGAGGACACGAGACCCTATACTGCTATGGAGACCTGCCAAATAACTGAGGTGCAAAGCTGAGGGATCGACCCCGCTTATTATATTTCTCCTGAAATGGCCCCAACGACTGCTACCTGCTCCGCCTCCTCAAGGCTTTCTTAGCTAAGAAAACTGTCAGCAAGTTTGATGACATCAGTCGAGAGGCCGCCGACTTACTCGACTCGCAGCCTCCCCAGCTCCGAGGAGGAGGGGAATGCTTACCTGCCCATTAGTTGAAGCACTGTAGTGATTAAGATTGAGTTGTTGTTGAGCAATTCTCACTGTATGTTCAGTTAGAAAGTAAGAAAGAAAAAATTCACAATAGAGGCAAGATTTTCTTTCCAACCTAATATAATCGAATGTGTTACGTCATCTCGTCCGAAAATGCCTGAGATTTTCTTATATAAGATGAAGAGGTAAATAAATTTCAAAGAACAGTATGAGTTTTAACTTGAACTTGGTACCGTTGCAATAAGTCGGGTCGATTTCCAGAGGGATGGACTGACGTCGCTTGCAACGTTGCCACCACTGGTTGTTTTACTCCAGAATCAATCATGAGCGTATCACACTTGGTAGATATGGTATAATGGAACTATCCCTGAGCCTCATGTGGTTGAATTCTTCTTTTGAAAAATGAGGACTCGCTCAAATGCTTTATTGGTGAGCTTTCGCTGTACTAACAGCTTCCTCAGACCTTAAACAATCAAATCAAGCATACAGCACAGCACTACTTAACATTGTTAGCTTATACAAAAGCACTAACCAGGACGATCAACTTGTCCACAATAATCGATCAATCACTATAATACTATGTGTGCGGTCACTGTCAAAGCCTAATTATAGCTAATGAACGTCTTACCCAGATGGAACACCCTATGCAACTAAAAGACACTCGAGAAATGCGACGTGCGTGACATTTCTTAGGACTTCTTTATCGCCACCACTACGATATCAGCCTCATTGCTTCCATGAGCTCATCCCTGATGTTGATCTCCGGTGATAGCCGCTTGATAGCGAGTGCTTCAAGCAACTTCCTTTCCAATGGCGATTCCTTTCGTGCGGTGTAAGACAACAACTTTTAGAGAGGGCGGTGGTTCTCGATGGTGTAGGAGTGTGCGGTGCCGCGAAAAAGCACTTCTGCGGTATGAAGGTAAGCTGCACAAATGGTAGTGATAACCGGGTATTCTTAGAGGGGAGTTCGCTGTGCTGCATTCACTTCGCGTCCCAGAAGCAGCACAGGAGAGCCTTCTCGGACTGCATGCCCGGTTTGGGCTGATAGGATGGGGCTTCTCCCTGAGAGTCAATCCCAAATGCGTGCTCGAAGCCATCACTTCATTTCGCCTGATTCAACACCACCGAAACGTTGTACTGTAGTAGGAACGGACGTAGTGGACGAAGACAATGGAAGCATTGCTCAACTTGGGGCCATCGTTTGCCGTATCAACAGCTGTCTAACCAGGGAGTGTTAGATTCAGTGCTGTGTGCATTCCATAAGTTCGCTCATCAGATCCGATGGAGGGAAAATGCAAGTCCGACTGCTCTGGACAGGCTGTCGTCATTCATTGCATTGATGCCTTTCTCGGGAACATCAGTGTCAGCACGAGACCAGCACCAGCTCTGGAACCTAGACTAGCGTCACTTCAGCTAAACCTGATACAAGTATATGCGAACGAAAGGTCAACAAAGTTTGCATCCAATCTAACCGAAAGAGAGAGACGCGGCTTGAAAAAGCTTCTGCTTCATAAGAACGACCTTCGATACAGTGTGAGCGACAAAAGTGGAGATTTTGTTGTTCTGACACAATCACTGGATAAAGGTCTCAGCCAGCGATCGCTCTCGGATACCACTACATACGAAAGATCCACGTTACGCGATTTCGAGAAGGTGTCAAAAGAACTACGACGCACGACAATGCGAATCTTGAGTAAGATTATGGATGTGAGGACCACGAAACGCCTTGTCCCGACGCACCCCACCGTACCAACATATTATGCTTTGGTCAAAACGCACAAGTTTCCTGAAGACGTCGATTTACGTGACATCGATGAGAACTTGATAAAAACAAGACCAATCATATCTTCCTGCGGAGGTCCGTCGGACAGGATCAGCTGGTTCCTTACGAAAATTCTCTCACAGCTGGTTCCTTACGAAAATTCTCTGACCACTACTTCGTCACATAGCTGCTCACTTAGTGAATGTGAGAGAATTCATATCTGCTCTTGATCGATGTGAAATACCGGATGAAGCAGCATATGCAAGTTTCGACGCGGTTTCATTGTACACCAATGTGGATAACAACGAGGCTGTCAATTCTGTGACTGAACTGCTACGACATCATCAACAAGAAGTACATACATTCGGATTGATAGGAGAAAGATCTGCGAGAGCTCTTAACGGCCACTTTGAAGTGCAACATCTTCCAGTTCAATGGCATGTTCTTTTCACAGAAGAGAGGTCTGGCCATGGGATTGAGGATATCCCCGCTGCTTGCCATCGTCTATCTGGACCGTATCGAAAGAAGATCACTTGATCTCAGGAATTATATTCTACAAGCGATACATAGACGATGTCTTCGTCATTGGAGCTACCACCGATGTGATGCACACAATGCTTCATAATTTGAACTCGTGTGATCCGAACATCCAGTTCACGGTGGAGTATCCAGATGAAAGCGGCTTTATTCCGTTCCTCAATGCAAAGATCAGGATAAACCATGGTACGAAAGAACTTGTTTGGTACAAGAAACCAATGTCGAAAAATATCCTTTTGCATTCCCGAAGTGCACATCCCTTGTACATGAAAGCGAATGTGATAAGAAACCTTATCACAACGAAGTCAAGGATCTGCACAGTGGAATCAGGAGAGATAGATCGGAAAATAACAAGAATCTTGGAGGAGAACGGCTATACGAGTTGCCACCCGAGAACATGGCGTCCCTTCTTTGTTGATGGAGGAATACCTCTAGTGTTACCTTACATCAACGAACGAAGTGCAAAGAAGGTGAACTATATCGTCAAGTCGTCTCATCTTCCAGTAAAGCTAATTTTCCGACCACCTGCTAATTTGAAGAGCCTGCTGACGTCATCGCGGATTTATGAAGAAAAATGTGGCCGGAATAACTGTACGTACTGCACCGATACCAAGATCTGCCAGTTGCGAGGTACAGTCTATTTGGTAATCAGCGAATGGACGAGCATGTGCGAGCGCTGCGAAACCCCCCCTTCATACCCCAGAAGTGCTTTTTCGCGGCACCGCACACTCCTACACCATCGAGAACCACCGCCCTCTCTAAAAGTTGTTGTCTTACACCGCACGAAGGAATCCCCATTGGAAAGGAAGTTGCTTGAAGCACTCGCTATCAAGCGGCTATCACCGGAGATCAACATCAGGGATGAGCTCATGGAAGCAATGAGGCTGATATCGTAGTGGTGGCGATAAAGAAGTCCTAAGAAATGTCACGCACGTCGCATTTCTCGAGTGTCTTTTAGTTGCATAGGGTGTTCCATCTGGGTAAGACGTTCATTAGCTATAATTAGGCAATGACCGCACACATAGTATTATAGTGATTGATCGATTATTGTGGACAAGTTGATCGTCCTGGTTAGTGCTTTTGTATAAGCTAACAATGTTAAGTAGTGCTGTGCTGTATGCTTGATTTGATTGTTTAAGGTCTGAGGAAGCTGTTAGTACAGCGAAAGCTCACCAATAAAGCATTTGAGCGAGTCCTCATTTTTCAAATGAAGAATTCACACTTGGTAGAGTAAGGCAGCGTTCAGAATTGTAGCGCGACGTAGCGCCACAGCTGTATCGAACTCCAGCTTCCTTTTGTTTTTTTTTCTTTCTGAATTCAACCCTCTTCTCTTTGCTTCTCATATTTATCTGATGCGCTCCTGTTTTCTACTTTATCACATTTTAATGTAGTTATATAGGATGAAAACAATTTCGTATGAAATGAAAACAATTTCGCAATCGGGATCAACAAGAGGCACCACTGCAAGACATCAAGCAAAGAAACCAAACATCAATAGCAACTCTGAAATCAAATAATTAATCGAAAATCCTACTATATATAATCCGCTAAGTTTGTCTATTG